CTCACTTCCCACCACTGCCGCCCCTTCTGCTCCCTGGCATGCTGCCCCTCACTCAGGGCTCCTGACAAAGGGAGGGCTCTTGACAAAGGGACGGCTCCTGTGGCCATGTGAGTATCTCACAACCTTGCCTTCAGGGTGTAGGTGGCTGGACCAGGGTGGACACCTGACCCCAGAGACGCCACACACAGGCAGGACGTTTGGACATGGGGCAGAATTGGACGTCGATGAGGGCTTGAACTAAACCGTCAGAGAACCAGGGATGGGGTGACGAACCCCAAATGCTAGCACTGCCCAATCTTCACTTCCAGCCCTGTGGTGTCTTCCTTCTGACACCAAACGTGTGCTGTCTTTTCCAACATCAACCACTTCTCTGATTCTCCAACTCCAGCTGGGTGTCCTACAATTCAATCCTATTCTGACACTAACTCCCCGGGTTAGGGCAGACCCCACAAGTTAAGGGCTCAGTCCCACAAGACTGCCCCACTTCAGACGCCAGCCACAATGGGGTCCCCAGGCCACCCACACATCTGCCCACCAACTACAAATTTGGGGTTTTGATAGAACGAGTCACAGAACTCAGGAAAGCATTCCACTTCCTATGTTGTGTCCTGAAGGACACAGAGACAGCCAGATGGACCAGACGCACAGGGCAACGTATGGGGAAGGGTGGAGCTCCCATGCCCTCTGGGCACGCCACCCTCCAGGCACCTCCCTGCGTTCACCAGCCCAGAAGCTCTTGAGCCCTGTTGTTTCAAGGGTTTTTACGGAGGCTTCATTACACTGGAGGGTTGATTAAATCACTGGTCACTGGTGATGAGCTTGATCTCAGGCCCCTCTTCCCTCCTGGGAGGTGGGATGGAGGGATGGGTGCGGGAGAGCAACCTCCAAGCTTTATTCGCAGCTCCTCCTTTCTGGCGCCAGCCTCCATCCTGGAGCTGTCCAGGGGCCCAGCCACTCCCATCTCATTAACACACAGAAGACACGATCACTCCAGACATTCCATGGTTTTTAGGAGCTGTGTGCCAGGAGCTGGCAACAAATCCATATTTTTCGATACCACAGCCCTGCGCTCACTGAGCTTCCGACTCCTCTATCTACAAGGGTTCGGGTTTCTTTAGGTACCTCAAACTCGCTCCGTCTCCCCTCACACAGTCTGCTTTCTGGGACGCCCCGTCTCTAGGTGCGTGGCTCCCAGTGACCCCTCCCAGTGGGCTCCAGTCTCTAGTCATGTCCTCCCCACCCCCAGAGTGAGCTGTTTCCACCGGACCAAGCTGATCCTGGGCTAGAATGTTCTGTGAGGCTAAGTAACCAAGTCTAGGTCCTCAATATGTCCCCCAGACCCAGGATGCCCCACTTCCTCTCCAGCTTTGCCCACCAACTCCCGAGATGTTCCACGGGTACTGGACTGACTGCCCCACGCAGAGCATCTCCCTCGTGCCACTGCTCTGCCTCTCTTCACGCTCCTCCCTCCGCACAGCAGGCCCTTACTGCTCCCGCTCTGCACGTGTCGAGCTCTGCACGTGTCAACCCCGTCCTAACGCTCAAGGTTCTGTGTGCGTCCCCTCCTCCAGTAAGTCACTTCTGAATCCCAGGAAGGCTAGGTGATCTTCTTTGCATTCCCGTCTTGGCTTATAAAATACCCTATGTCACCCGCAGAGCGTCTGTCTGCAGGTCGGTCTGCCTCACCGGACAGAAGCTCCGCAAGCCCGGGAACTGGCCTCCTCACCTTTGTTCGCACAAAGCCAGGCACAGGCCTGACCCTGACGGTTCAATGCACGCTCAGGGCCAGTTCTGGAAACGTAAGCCGAGTCTACTGTGAGGGAATACGACACACTGACTAAACTACCCAAACGAAACAAAAATGGGAAACCCCACCGTGCTAAGGACGTGAGGAAATAGGTTTAAAGTTGGAACGGATTTTCAGCAAATTCTGCTTTGCTGTTCAGCAAAATCTGCTAGTAACCTTTCTCTGAAATGATCTGACTCTAAGAAGAGTGACAAAATTTGTCACATAAACTGTTCATCCTTTAACCTACTGATTCCACTTTAGGAAAAATATTTAAGGAAAAAAGATATTCATAGCAGTACTATTTTGAACAGCTAGAAACAACACAAACAGTCAATGACGGGGAGGTCTAGGAGAACTGCTGAACAGCCGCCACGGTGGGACGCTATCTAGTTATTAAAAAGGCAAACTGGTGGAAGACAGGAAGACGAGGTTTCTATGAAATGAATTTGAGAGAAAACAGCAGAATATGGAAGTAATCTAAGACTCCAAAAATAAGCATGGTAAATTACGATACGGCCGTGTGATGGAATGTTATAAGGCTATTTTAAAATGTTCAAGAATATTTAAGGACATGAAAAATCACTCAAAATACAGTTAGTGAAAAAAGCATACTATAAAACAAAATAAAGTCTAAACTAGTTTTCTAAAAAAATCCTATATACATGTACATACATTTTTTTAAAATTACAGGAATGTCAAGCATTCAACATAGGTTTTTCTATAAATTAGATAATTTAGCAATCATTTATAGATCTTTAGAGATAACTGTTAAGGTTGCTAATTATAAAAAGCAGAAGAGGTGAACTTTTGAAAGCAGACTTTTTAAAAAATAACTATAATATTTAATTTTATCCCTCAGTTAGGATTTTTCCCCAAAACTTCCTCTAAATGCCACATGAGATTTAAGCAAAGTACGCTGTTCACTTAACAAATGAGAAAATTACAGAACTAGAATAATTATAACATTTATATAGAACCACAAAAGACCCCGAATAGCCAAAGCAATCTTGAGAAAGAACACAGCTGGAGGTATCATGCTCCCTGATTTCAAACTATACTACAAAGCTATAGTAATCAAAACAGTATGGTACTGGTATAAAGACAGACACACAGATCAACGGAACAGAATAGAGAGCCCAGAAATAAACCTACGCTTATACAGTCAATTAATCTACGAGAAAGGAGGCAAGAATATGGGGAAAAGACAATCTCTTCAATAAATGGTGTGGGGAAAACCACATAGCCACACGCAAAAGAATGAAACTGGACAACCATCTTACATCACACACAAAAGTTAACTCAAAATGGATTAAACACTTAAATAAGAGACCTGAAACCATAAAACTCCTAGAAGAAAACACAGGCACAGTATGCGCTTTGACATCAGTCAGCAATATTTTTTTGGATCTGTCTCCTCAGGCAAAGGCAACAAAAGCAAAAATAAACAAATGGGACTATATCAAACTAAAAAGCCTTTGCACAGTGAAGGAAACCATCAACAAAATGAAAAGGCAACCTACTGAATGGGAGAAAATATTTGCAAATGATATATCGAATAAGGGGTTGATTTCCAAAATATATAAAGAACTCATATAACTCAACAACAAAAAAACAAACAATCCAATTAAAAAATGGGCAGAGGAGGGCCAGCCCCATGGCCTTATGGCTAAGTTTGGCGCCCTCTGCTTCGGCGGCCTGGGTTTGGTTCCTGGGTGCGGACCTACACTGCTGGTTGGTGGCCATCCTGTGGTGGCCCACATACAAAACAGAGGAAGATATGCCACAGACGTTAGCTCAGGGCGAATCTCCTTCAAGCAAAAAGAGGAGGATTGGTGACGGATGTTAGTTCAGGACACATCTTCCTCAGCAAAAAAAAAATGGGCAGAGGACCTGAATGGACATTTTTCCAGAGAAGACATACAGATGGCCAACAGGAAACAAAAAGATGCTCAACATCATTAATCATTTCCTCAGGGAAATACAAATCAAAACCATGGTGAGATATCACCTCACACCCGTCAGAACGGCTGTTATCAAAAACACAAGAGATAACAAGTATTGGTGAGGATATGGAGAAAAGGGAACCTCTGTGCACCACTGGTGGGAATGTAAATTGGTGCAGCAACTATGGAAAACAGTAGAGAAGTTTCTTAAAAAATTAAAAATAAAACTACTATATGATCCACCAATTCCACTTCTGGGTATTTATCCGAAGAACACAAAAACACAAGAGATATACGCACCCCTATGCTCACTGCAGCATTATTTACAATAGCCAAAATATGGAAGCGTACTAAGTGTCCACTGACAGATGAATGGATAAAGAAGATGTGGTACATACACACAATGGAATATTACTCAGCCATTAAAAAGAAAAAAATCTTGCCATTTGCAACAACGAGGGACCTAGAAAGTATTATGCTAAGTGAAATACGTCAGAGAAAGACAAATGCTGTATGATCTCACTTATATGTGGAATCTAAAAACCAAAAGAAATGAAAAACAAAATAAAACAGAAACAGACTCAGATACAGGAAACAAACTGGTGGTCGCCAGAGGGGAGTGGTGAGGGGCGGGCAAAATAGGTGAAGGAGATCAAGGGGTACAAACTTCCAGTTTTATAGTAAATAAATCACAGGGATGTAATGTACAGCATAGGGAATATAGTCAATAATATTGTAATGATATTGTATGGTAACTAGACTCAGCCTGATGATCATTTCGTAATGTACCAAAATATCAAATCACTATGTTGTACACCTAAAATTAACATAATATTCTATTCTATAAACTAATATAATATTCACTTCAATTAAAAAATTAAATTAAAAAATGAGAAAATTAAACCTCATATGAGCTAAATTTCCCCAGCCCAGAAGTGGCTTTTTAACCTCCCTCTGTAAAGAGGAAGTAAAGTTTCATTCACCTTGGAGGCTGAGGGGCCAGGGCAGGGATTATGGATTCAAGCCAGGATGCCATCACAGAATGAGATGACTCATTAAAGGCTTCAGTGACCAAAATTAAATAGACTTTAACGTCCTTAACCAGGACAAAAAGATTCCTCTGATAACCTGTCCTAATATACTCACTGGGCCATGTGGGGAGGATAAGATGTGAAAAGTACTGAGAAACACAAATAAGAACCAGTGTCACATTGCGGTCAGCACACTCATCAATCAAGTTATCAGTCCATGTAATCTTCCATGCCTACCTCACGGGCTCTTTTGATTATTTTGTCATCCACGTCTGTAATTCCCATCACCATGATGATGTTGCATCCAAAAATCCTGGTTAGGATCCTTCGAATTATATCAAATCGAACATAGGAGCTGAAAGAAAAAAACATGTTAGGGCATCTTTAACACAGGAAGTCATCATTGTGATCTTTAAAAGAGTGCGTTACATTTTAACACGCCGCTGCGTAACTGCAAGTGTGTGATAACTGATGGTTTGAGGGCAGCTAGGAAAGGAGAAGCCTTTTACTGACTGGTCCACACGGGGCCTCACAAGAAACTGACAAAGGTATTGCCTCAATCTCAGGACACAATATTAGCATTTTTAATGTTAGAGCTGTTGTTTAAGTGTGTTTACATCTATTTAATTGTATAAAAATTCACTTGTAATACAATCTCACTAGGTAGTTAAAATACTGAGAGCTTTTACCATTCTTGTTCACGTTCTGGAATAACTGTAATGTTTCACTACGACAAAATAGAAGCAAATAACAACAACAAGTCAAGAGAAGAACAGTCCTATTAAAGCTGTATAAGATTACTCCTCAGAAATGTGTACACTGCTGTGGAATCTTCCAACACCAGCTTACTGACAGACTGCACTGGGGGAACTCAGACTCGTGAAACCACTAAGATCTCAAGAATCTGGTTTCCCATAAAAGCCACCTTAATACTCCAGGTCAGCTAATCTCACGCTCATCTCTGTCATCATACGGCCTCTCTAAACCTGAGTTCATAAAGCATTTTCCGTTGAAAACAAGCCTCGTCATTGAATCCTCTGAACCCCCTACACTCACCCACCCCAAATACAGCTGACGCCAAATCTCAATTCTAGTAACAAAATGATCTCTGAAACTCCTTGCCAAGGTATTTAATCTTTTGAAGTCTCAGGCTGCTTATTTATAAATTGGGCAAAATCCAACTGGGTTACTGGCTGTAATCTCAGTGCCTGCAGCACCAATTCCAACAAGCTACCACTCCCATCTCAACATGATGCCCTTCATTCATCTGGAGATTCTAAAAGAAATGAGATTTAAGAGAAAAAGTTAACAGGAACTTAAAGTGGAAACAAGAGTCAAGTCACATGCTTGGCCCAGAGGAGCTCAAGGGCTGCAAGGCTCCGAGCTGCGGAAGCAGCTGCTCCCCCAGGGGCCACTCCAAGCACAACACACGCCTGGCACCTCGGAGGCCCAGGTGCAGGCCCAGCTGGGCTCGGCAGCCTCATTCATTGCTTCCCAGCTGTAGGACCTGGGGCGGTTCGTCAGCCCTCTGCAGCACAGGGTCCCCATTTGTCATTTAGGGATAAGAGCACCACCACCTGGTGTTGTCAGGATCGTTACACTGGCTGGTGTCTGTAAAGCATGTAGAACGGTGCCCAGCACACAGCGAGTGCTATCTGTCTGTAAGTATATGTCTTTTTACAATAGAGGCGGTGTGGCTACCTGGGAGGAAGGGGGGAGCGGGGCTCGAGGCCATGAACCTGGAGAGTAAGCAGGGACAGACCTCCAGGACTACGGAGACGTCCTTAGGATGTTGAACTTTCCCTTAAGAGCAGTGGAGCCATGCCTGACCTCACAACTCCTTCAGAAATCTTGTAGTCCTTAGCTTCTCTACCTTTCAGGGCATCTTGAATTGAAAGACTCTTCTTGAGGAATGGGTTCCTCTCACCATCAAGACCTCCACAGAAGTTATCCTGGAGTGGGGATGGGGGAGGGGGTGATGAAGGGGGACACAGAGGAGGCTTCTGGGTGTTGGGAACGTTCTGTTTCTCCATCTGAGACCCGTGAACACTCATTCAACCACACACATAATATTTGTAGCCCTTTCTGCATTTGTAAGGACAAATACAAATTATAACTGAGAGGCCTGATTCTCCTTGTTGAAAATAAGGGAACAGACTCTCCCTCACTCTCCCTTTCTTTCAGAATTTCCTCAGTCCTTTTAAAATACATGTAAATGTTTTTAATGGCTAGGTAAGCCTCTGTCAGTCTCCCAACTCAGGGAAGTTTCAAGGACCTGGGAGCCACCTCTCTGAAGTCATCGGGGAAGGTAACGCTGTGTGACAGGAGATGGGCCGAATTTGTCACCTGACTCCAAACTGCACACCTGCCTGCACTCGAGAGCTGTATCCACCTAGCTCTGTAAGAGTGAGACTTCTTGCTGTCTTTGCAGTCCTTCTAGTGGGTTGCCTGTGATTGGGTGCCATTCTGATTTAATGCTTATTCAATAACAAAACTGTTTTCTTTCTCTTCTGCCTTTGTGGAAAGGTTTTCCGAGTTGGGAGATTTGGTTTTTAATATTTCCCCAACATAGTTTACACTTCAAAAAAGAGGTCAAAATATGCTTTTTATAATTAATGGTAAGTTAGCCCAATGTGAAGGAAAAAAATGACTCCTAGACCACTTACTTTGTTCTAACAAAACACAAGAAATGTTTGGACCTTACTGGGTGACATATAACTTTGTAAAAAGTGCACTGAGTAAAGGTAGCTTTTTACTTTTAGTCTAGGTCTGAAGAATAACAACTTTAAAAGATGCACAAGAGAACACACAAAGTATTAGGAAAAGTGGTAATTCTGACAAAGGTACAAGGCAGTGCAGCTCAGGGTTAAAAGGCAGAGAGAGCAAGCACCTGGAGGTCACAGACACCAGGCTCCGCCGAAGCTCCAGCACGTCCAGAATGTGTGCCCTCGGGTAGGTTACTCATCCCCAACAATGCGAGCCCTCAACACATGTCACACCTCAGGTACTGTGTTAAGCAGGATTTCATGGGCGTTATTTCATAAAAGTGTGAAGATTCAAAAAGATGGATACTCTCATCCCCATCTCAAAGATGAGGAAACCAGGACTCAAAGTGATAAACGGGCTTGTCCAAAGCCGGGCAAGAAATAAAAGGTGGGGGCCGCAAATAGCTCCTGACCAGCTGACTCCAGGGCCTCATCTTGCTAAACCCACCAAGAAGCTCTAATTCCACAACGGGTCACTTTTCACCGCTCCTCATTGCCTCCCTGAGCTTCCTCACCTGTGAAAGGGGTAGACGTGCTTAGAATTGCTAGAAGAACCAAATGAGACTGTAACATGCGTGTTTCCCACAATACCTGGAATATAGTAACTATCCAGTATTCTCAAGTTGCCACTTGAGAGATGGAAAAAAACTGCAAAAGGCTCTTTCTTTTCAAAATAAATGGTCCCTTGATGTGTGAATATTCAAATTCAGGAAACTCACCAAGCATGGCCAAGGTGTGCATGATCGTAGACAGTAGGTCCACAGCTATACCTAGGAACAAAGGTAAAATCCACATGAAACATATTTGCAAGAAAGGACATCCGTTCTGTTATGATTCTCATATAACCATGTCTTTTTTTTAAGTAACTGCTTTTGGAGAATGTATAGCCGGGGTTCTATAACTAGAATAGCTAAATTCATAGCCAAACCCTGTGAATCACTGCGACTACACTACAGTGTCTTTAAAGGTATTTCCAACGTATTTTATTACTTATTAAACGCTTTCCACCTGAGAAACCAACCCCGCTTTCAACACAGATCACTGTCCCGGAAAACCCTGGGTCCCCAGTCCTTCCAGCGCCACCTTCCCCAGCGCGCCCCACCATCCCAGGGGGCTACCAGGAGGCGGCGTCCGCCCTGCCCACGATCAAGGGGTCCTTCCTCCGGGTGAGGCTATTGTACACCATGACCCCTGTGTCGTGGCCGGCAGGCCGCAGCCAGCCCTGCCCGCGCGCCCCCGACGCCGCCCGCCCCGGCCCCAGACCCAGCAGTGCCCGGAGGAGCGTGGAGCCCGCACGCGCCCCACGCGACCGCAGCATGGCCAGCCCGCGGGGGTCCGGCAGCAGGCGCACGCGCACGCGCGACAGCCAGCCAGGCTCTCCGTGCCCGCCCCGTCCACGCTGGGAGGGGCCAGGCAGGCCCCGCCCACCCGGAAGAGGACTCGGCCTGCCCCGCCCACCCGGAAGAGGCGGGCGGGAGCGGCGGCCCCGCCTCCCTCAGGCCTGTCCGGCGTCCGCTGCAGCGCGGGGGGAGAGGAGGGGAGGGGAGGGGGGCTGGCAGGGGGCGGTGCGGCCGCGGGGGCCGCGGGGAGGGCCCCTCTGCTCGTCAGCGCGGACGCGGTACGAGCCCAAGCCGCAGCGAGCGGGAGTTCACGCGCGCGTGCCGCCCGCCCCTCGCCAGCTCGCGAAGCACGTTTCACGCCAGCGTGCACACCGCACTTGTGCACCCCAACAGCACGTTTGCATCCCAAGACGCACACGGCAAGTTTGCACCTCAGAATGCACAGAGAGCACGTTGGCACCCCAACACACACACCCAGAGCACGTTGGCACCCCAACACACACTCTTTATCTCCAGATGAAAGACCAAAGCTAGGAAACCGCCCATTCATGAAGTACGCGTAGTAAGAAATATCTGTTTGGGATTCATTTTAAGGTTAGAAGTTCTATCATCTTGTCTCTTGAGAGCAAAAACATTCTGAATTGCGGTTTCAATGGAACTTTTTAAAGGCGGATTCACTTGAAGTTACTTTCAAATTATCTTGACAAACGTGCCTCTATTGATATCTTGCAAAACAGTGTCTCAAAAAAAAAAAAAGAAACAAATCCCCCTTGCTTTTGCAGTCTTCAAAACAACACAGAGGTTCCTCAGTTCTTTTTTTGGATTGTTTTGGTCTTCTACTGAAAGCAAAGGTTTAAGTAGAGACAAACCAGTATGTTCCTAGAGCACTTAAAATTTTTTTCAAGATCCCTGGAGTCCAACTCTGCAATTCTGTTTCAAGCTAAACTGTAGTCTAATGTAAACTATGTTCTAATGCATAATCCTAATGTTAGAACCTGTTGCTCAGAATTAGGAGTCGGCTGCATCAGTGCTAAGCTTGTGCTCCCTGACTACTCCAAGTTCTACTGGAGTATACTGTCCCTTCCTCACTGCCTGCATGCTTGTCTTGATGTTATTTTGTAACTGTCTCTTGTTTCTACAATATGTATATTTCTCTCCCCGAGTACTTCAGATTGTAAATTCTTTTTGTCTCTCACTGTACCCAGCACTAAATTCAGAAAAGGGCTGTTGAACTTTGGCTGAATTAATTAACTTTAGAAGAATTAATCTCTGATGAAATCTACCTGTTGAGCAGGTGGGAGGAAATTCTGGCAGTAAAATATCTGATGAGAAAGCTCTGATCCAGATATTAGATGTGCCAGTAAAATAAGAAAATGAACAAAAGGCTTGACTGCATTCATGAGAACACACAGAAATTGAGGAAAAAGCTAGAAGTTTTGAAAACAGAAACATCGAAGACCAAATCCTACGCATGAATCTGGATAGGTGGCATGTTTGAATTGCCCTTAGAAAATCATGATTTAAATTAACAATGGTATCTTGTCTTCAGAAAACCGGTCTTGTCATGTGTCAGCCCTTTGACTGGCGGCACTTCTACCATTTCTTAAGTCTTGTGGGAATCATCAAAACAACAATAAATATAACCCATTATTTAATGATGGTTAAAAATATGATTCCTTTTGCAGGTTGAATATTAAGGTAAAGTAAAAATGATGGGGAAGATTTATTAGCATATATATCCAAAAAACAGAATCTGTTAATTTGAAGTGACCCCTCCCTGATCTAGGTCAGAACAAGGAAGTGTATTCAAATTAATGATTCCAAAATATCTCGAATGACATTTCTTAGTCCTTAATGACAACAGCAAAAATATAGTTCTCAATATTACAATTTCTTTCAAGGCAAAATCCTGAAAATCCATAGTAGGGTAGATAAGGTAACATATTGTTTAGGGCATTTCAAGTTTGAGATGAATGTGTTAGGATTTATTTTTTAAGCACCTCAAAACATAAAGAATTGTATGTTCATCTCTTATCTTTTACTCCCATAGGTTTGAGCATCTGCAGTTTAACCAGAAATACAATTTTAGAAAAAAGATTTAATATCTCTTTTTGAAACACATTCCAAAGAGGGAAACTGAAACAACCAAGATTCTTCAATGTATCTTCAAAATTAAACTTTTCCTTAGTGGCATATTTAAAATACATGATCATAGTTAATTACATTTTAGCAATTGGTCTTCTAACCTTGTTCAGACAACCGTTGTCATATTTTAACAACTTTGTAAAGCTAATAAATAAAACATTTTCTTTTTAGCTCAAGGGGAAATTACATGTCTTGTAGAATGTAAGCTCCTTACTCACCACTGTATCCCCAGTGCATAGAACAGTAGGTAGCACACGGTAGGCATTCGTTAAATATTTCTTGTCAGATGGATAAGATGCCTTTTTACTGTGAAGTCCATGAAAACAGGAGAGGAATCATTATTCAGATAGTATAGGGATTTTTTGAAAAGACAACCTAAGTCAAACTCTAGCTTGATTATCGTTCAAATGGGTAAATTATTTCTAACCTTTACTCTTAAGTTCAGATAAACATTACACATTCTAGGACAATAAATTCAAGGATTAAAAGGACCTATCTCTTTCTTGCTTTTGTACTATAAAATTACTTATAGGTTCTTAGAGGAAAAGGTATAATGTTTCCTATTCAACTTTGCACCCTCTTTCTATTCTATTCCGTGTCTCCGTTTCCACATAATGTCATAGTGTTAAAGTCTTTTGTGCAGACCAGTGGCCAATACATTTTATTGAATGAAACGAAATGAAACTTTACTCATCATTGCTTTTAACTGGGCCAAGCCTGGAAAAAGTGAGAATCTATAAGTAAAATAACCATTTTCCCAAAAATCAAAGTGAACGTTCTCCTGATGTAGGTGGGGGAAGGGGAGGTTTAAGAGTGCACATCAAATCCATTTACTTCAAAGTGTAAATATTATTCGTCGTTTATCACCGCAGCAATGTTCCAAAGTAAACAAGCCATTTCCAAAGACAAAACAGCTCAATTTAGTCTCATTTGCTGTACTGCCATCCCTATCACAAAACGCCCTACAGATCGCTGGAGTCGGATCCACTGCGGATAACAATCTAGATCATGGAAATTGGATTGGTCCAAGATTTTACTGGATTCCATATAGCAATTTTTAAATTGCCAGTGGTCTTAGTTGTCATTCCGACTCTGAACCCCAGAAGGCGCGCCCCTGTGAGCTGCAGTGTAATAGTTCTATGAGTAAATGCAGTGTCTGGATGGCAGCAGGGCAACCGGGGACACGAGGCTGACACCGGCCCCATCAGTGAGAGGAGGAAAGCGGAGCAGCGCCGGGCGCGGCCGTGGAGACGTCACGAGGCGGGGGTCAGGAACTGACCGGGCCAGAGACGGCGCCCAGGCGCCCGCCCCCTCGGGGAGTAAGCCGGCGCAGACGCAAGCAGAGCGGCGCGGGGAAGCGAAGCTCCGGGAAGCACCCGCCGCAGCACGGCCCCGCGCCCGCGGACAAAGGCGGAGCGGGCTACGCCCACGGGGCGGGGCCTCGGCCGGAAGGGGCGGGGCCGCGCGCGGGCCCGTCGTCTAGGCAACGGGATCCTCTGCGCCCGGCTTTTCAGAAAGCCCAAATCGGGAGTTTAGGGCGGGGAGGGGAGCGGCGGGGCAGGGGAGGGACCGAGCCAGCGCGGGGAGAGACCCTAGGACCCCTGCGGCAGGACGGCTGCCCCGCCCCGGTTTGGGTGGTCTTTCGAAGTGGGGGAGCGGACTTGAGAGCGGATTCCAGGGCACAGGCAGGAAAGGGTCGGGTCGCCCGCCCTCTGCGAGGGCCGTGCCCGGGGAGCAGCTCTCCTCTCGGGCCCCTTTGTCTCCAAGCCGCTCGGCGCTGGGCTCCGGCCGGCGACACAAAGGGAGGGGTCGAGGACCGCGCAGGCGCGCGAGCCACCGAGGCTGCTGGGACTGGTGGTCCTGCCGCCGAATGGTAGGTCTCCTCCCGCGCGGGCCGGCGGCCGCCCTGGCCGTACAAGTGCGCATGCTCCACTATTTCCGCCCTTCTCAGCCCGCCCTGTCTCCCCGCCCCCCAGAGGACGCGGGTTTCTAGTAGTAAGATCCCGGGAGGAGTCTTCCGTGCTCGCCCCGCCTCCTCTTCATTCTGATTGGGCCACCCATATGAGAGCGGCAAGCGGATTGGCTCTCGGGGTTGCCCGTCTGTTCCGGGCAGTACTTACGGGCCGCTGCACGGCGGGCCCGGAAGAGTGAGGGGCTCAGTGGGGAGAGGAAGGAGGTGGGGTGGGGGTGCGATGGTGTCCGAGGCAGCGGTCCCGCGGCCGTGTCGGTTCCGGCCGGATTTTCGGCGGGGCCGGCCGCCACCGCGCGTCCCCGGGCAGGCGTGCAGCGCTGCCCGACAGGCTCTGCCTGCAAGTGCGAAACTCCTTGTAAAGTTTGTGCCTCGCCCGCCGCCCCCTGCACCCTTGACCCCCTCCCCGGCAAAAGTGACTGACAAAGCCACACCCCCTCGCGGCGGGGCCGGTGAGGGGCGTGAATGCGGCGGGGGCGGGGCCCGCGGGGAGGGGGCCGCGGGGGGCGGGGCGC